GGGGGTTTAATAGGGGGATATATTTCTGAATGCCATCACTATGTACTGTGTGTTCAGCAGTCCTGACTTCTGCGCTTTGAATGCTGACATTGCAGCAGTCAAGAGTATGCAACATACAGCACAGCATACAGAGTGCAGTAGTCAGAATTAAGTAACATACTGTGTACATTGCATTCCCCTGACTGCCATACTTTGTACATTGTGATGTACAGTATACATACCTTACTGTTGTATTTTACATGCTTATGGCCACTGCATTTTGAACAGTGGAGTGCATGATGCATACTGCACTCTATATACCAACAGTAAACATTTACTGTGGACCAAAGTGTTCATTGTCTCAACAGTTGCTGGTTGCTAAGCAGTCACTGACTATTTTAATGAAGTTCTTCCTTAAATTAGGCTCAGGCTAAAGAATATATAATGGAATGGAAAAATTGTGCTGAAGTTATAATGTGTCTGTGGATTTCTCATTTGTGGCAGTAATTAAAGAGACCCTGTCACCAGATCAAGCTTTTCTATCTAGAGGCCTTTATTAAAACAAGCATAACAGATACGTGCCTGCCTTTCCCATAGTTATCCTTTATTTTTATGCTTTACAAAGATGAGTAAAAACATGGGTGTTGCCTCTGACCAGTCCAACGCTATTGACAATAAGCGTAAGAAGGCCGGCAGAGAACACACAGAAGAAAGGTTCAATTACATCACTGCACGCGTCTGGGTTCATGAGAAACCAGGATCCCAGCTGCAGAAGATGTTCCGGCATACACATGGGAAGGATACATTTTGAATCTTCACCCTGGGCACTGGATGACCTTGTCCTGCCAATGTATAGAAAGCCTTAAAATAAATACTGTACCCTACTACACCCACAAACCCCTGCTGCCACTCTGCATAGCCATGCAAGAACATTGGGAATTGAGATGTTGAACTAAATTACTACATATACTGTATGATATAGTTTACCATATACAATACCTTATTATGTCTCGTAATGCACATATTCATCACTTTTCTGGTAAATACTAGGTGACGTATGGCCCTTATATCATAAACACTAAAATCATTTAAGATGTAAATATAGACTATATTTTTTTACACAGCAGCATACCAAGTATTAGTCTTTAGCACTGAGACAGAAATGCAACTGTGATATTATCATGCCGGAAAACTCTCTCAGCAACAATACGTCTTTCCGTTTTATATAAGTAGCATAAACATATTTCAGTCTTATATAAGTATATATGGATTTTTCATACCGGGACTATTGGGGCGACCTCCAGATCTGCAAACTGGACAACATTCTCCAGATGGGACCTCAGGATTGTCACATTCTACGATCTCAGGGCACTGGATGTCATCACACAAAATGGCACCACTATCACAGACACATATCTGGCAGGGAGATGGCTTCCAAACATCTTGATTCATATACACATTATCCCCTTGCTTGCAGGACAAACCTTCTGTTTCCCCTGTAAAAGAACATAAACAGGTTATTATGTTGAAGTATATTGAACTGCGTGGGCAAATCAGTAGAAAAGGAAATTATAATATCATTGTTTTGTAAAATAAGAAAATAAAAGCAAGAATGAGACACAGGAGTGGACATTTTCTATAAACCTAAACGCTGCTTAGACTCTTAGCCCAAAGCCGCACACTGGAGTCTGCTTAGACTCTTAATGGTGGATCACTCGGATTGATGACAAACGCAGCTAGCTATGAAAACATTGATCCACACTTCGAATACACTTTGCAGCCCCGGCTTCCGCCTGTCTGAGGGTCTCCACACTATATAGGTTGAACCTGATGGGCCTGTGTCTTTATTTAACCTCCCCTACTATGTAACTATATAATGTAGGTATGTATTGAATAAAGATAAAATTAAAATATATATTTTTTAATGTACCTGAATTTGTCTTGATAACAGCCACCACTGTAAGCAGTAGACATGTGCATTCGGATTCAGACTGGTTCGGCAGTTCGTCCAAATCCGAAATGACAAATTATTATATGCCCAAATATTTTTAAAAAACTATGTTCGAGCATATGACCAAGATGGTAGGGCACATACATGTGAATTACATAATCCAATGTGGTGTCATGCGCTCCGCCTCCAAGATGGCGGCTTTCATGCACAGAACGTGGCGGTTGGGGATACAGCTGCCGCACGTTCTGCTGTTTAAATGTGCAATTTTGGATTCCAAGGTCAAACAAAACAAATGAAAATGTTTTTATTTTTCATTCGTTTCGGCCTTAACAAATTTTTATGTTGTGCATATGTCTAGTAATCAGCACAGCAGACTGAGATAGAGGGGAACAACACTAGGAGCCAATCAGGTATGCTGGATGTAAATGTGCTGACAAAGCAGCTGAAAATTCAGCTCAAAGCATAAAGTGCACAGAGATTACATTTCCATGCCTAACTCACCAAACCCTTCCAAAAATTTCTGTAGTGCAGATGACCCCAGACATTAAGGTGTATTTTTTTTATTTTCTTTCCAAGTTGAATGTAATATCAGGAAAATACCATATGGCTGCTAGATGAAGCTGAGGAGCATAGAAAAACAGGAAACTTGTATTACCAGACTTACCGCAATTTTCCTTTCCTGACACCTCCATGGCAGCACATAATGGCAGCACATAATCAGCTGTGCATCGGCTGCACTTCGGTCAGCCAAACATGCTCTGCATGTTCGGCTGAGCCGAAGGGCAGAAGGACTTCTATTCAGCCGATCCAACATCTGGGTCAGCTGAGCCGAAGCTCCAGCAGCTCACTCGCAGCCGATCGCCCCATTCACATAGAGGCCGAACAGCAGTGAGTGAATAGCGGCATTCTTCGGCTCGGCTATTCTGCTCAGTACCTCCGAGGTGCCGAGCAGAATAGCAAGTAGTGAAAAAAGTAGAAAATAAAAAAAGTTGAAGAAATATTTTTAAAAATGTAAATATATATTAAATTAAAAAAATAAAGATTTAAAAAAATATTAAAAAAACAATTGGGTGGAGCTAGCAGTGACAGCTAGATCCGCCCAACTGTTTCCTATTGGCCGGCAACTGCTAGAGTTTTCTAGCAGGTCCCAGACAATGAATACCAACTGGGTGGAGCCAGCCGTGATGTCACGGCCGACTCCGCCCAGTTATTATTGTTAAATGACAGATCAGCACCCCAGGTCATTTGGGGATACTGATCTGCCATTACAACTGGGCGGAACAAGCCGTAAGATCATGGCTGGCTCCCCCCAGCTGTCATTTGCGCGGCGAAAGGCCGGCCTTCGGGTGTCACTTCGGCTCAGTTGAGCCGAAGCATATGCCTTCGACTCGGCTGAGCCGCTTGAGCCGCCTTTGGCTGCTGTACGGGCTATTGTGAATTTTACATGTTTAATACTTAAACATGTAAAACACAAATGCAAACTTCATATTCACAAAGGTTTTACAACATAATTATGATATTCCTTGTTCACAGAACGGGAACATACATGCTAGCAACATTACATGTATCATATGAAGCATGTCACATGCAGCACAATGTTAAATAAAGATCTTGAAACAGCAGTTGGCTAAACTGCTCCCAATGGTTAAAGCCGTCCCCAGCCAATAGGCACTGTGGTAAGGGGGGCACAGCTGGAGTGGTAGCCTCTTGTACAGTCTATGCTTCTGAGGACTGATAACTCAGCCCCACAAATTACTGGTACTGCAACTCTGCTGATGTAATCTGCAGGGCTCAACTTTCCATTTGACAGCCATTCCCACTCTTAAGAGCCATGTCAGACAGGTGGTTTATTCTCAGCATTCTTCTTCTGCACCCTCAGACACACACATGCTAAAGAGTAAAATCCAATTCAATGCCCAACCATAGATTAAATGCACATTCAGTGGAACTTTACTGATTACCAAGAACGCTTCCACTATCACCTCTTATGCTTTATTTTATCAATGTACGCAGGATAATATCAGCTCACAGAATCTGCAAGCCCTGAAACCATGTATACTGCATTATAAATAAATAATATATAAATATATACAATATGTTGCTATCATATTAGGGATGCACCGATACTGGTATCGGTATCAGTGCAGATCCTGAGCATTTGGGTAAGTACTCTTACTCGCCCAAATGCTCCGATACTTACCTCGATCCCAGAACTGCCGGGCAGAGGGATGTTCCCTCTGACCAGCAGTGCCGCAAAGAATAATGGAGCCTCCTGGCTTCATGACTAGCTGGGAAGCTGGCTTCATGCTTCCTAGTAACACTGCGGGGGTCATGACCCACCTCCCGGCTTCCTGATTGGTTGGGAAGCCAGCTTCACGCTGCCTAGCGACACTGCAGGGCAGCCTGGCTTCAGGAAGCTAGGCTGCCCTGCAGTTTCACATGGGAGCGTGAAGCTGGCTTCCCAGGCAGTCAGGAAGCCGGTCCCACACTACATCGAGATGCCGGTATCTGCACTCGGTATCGGAGAGTACCAGTAAAAAAATATCAGTACTCGTACTCAATACCGAAAAACTGTAATCAGTGCATCCCTAGTTTGTATGTTCTATCAACCCTTGGTTTGCCATTAAGAAGCATTTATTTAAAGAAACGTTTCTTCCTGAAGAAATAATTCTTGACTGGTCTCTAGAGTAAAACTTTTTCAATAAAGCTTAACCACACTCTTGTGGAAAAAAAACACCATATGTCATGGCTGAAGAATTCACTCTGGACAGCATTCCATGTTGTTCTCCTTGCATGTGCATGACTTATTGCATTAGACTTTGTTTAACAAAAGCAGGCCTTTCTTTCCAGATGTCTGGCATATGAATTTTATCATCTGAAATGTTTTTTTTCCAACCACAGAGCTATTAGAATAGATATGTATTTCCAGCATGAAGTTGCAAAGTACCGAAGTAGATTGGTCCGGTGTTAATTACCGGCACCTTCTCTGCCGTCGGTTCTCCAGATACAAAGCACCTGTTTCTCTCATGCAAGGAAAGAAAAAATCCTTCATAATGTATTCATTCCAAAGGTAGTTTATTCGTAATTTAAAATCGTAATGAGGACCGGTCCGGCAAATATCAAGTTTTGGTATGAAAAAGACCCGCCCTATGCGTTTCGTCATCAAAGACGTCCTCAGGGGACCTGCATTTTCCCCTGAGGACGTCTTTGATGACGAAACGCATAGGGCGGGTCTTTTTCATACCAAAACTTGATATTTGCCGGACCGGTCCTCATTACGATTTTAAATTACGAATAAACTACCTTTGGAATGAATACATTATGAAGGATTTTTTCTTTCCTTGCATGAGAGAAACGGGTGCTTTGTATCTGGAGAAGCGACGGCAGGGAAGGTGCCGGCAATTAACACCGGGCCAATCTACTTCGGTCAAATACAACGTGTGTGGCTGTCTGTTACAGTCGGAAACCAGGGGTGAGTACTCACTCTTAGGGGATATGTATTGACCTCAATACACTCCTCAGAAAAAAGTGTATTACCGAATACTGAAAATAAGTCGCTACACACATCTTTTCACTTGGATCGGATTGAATTAGCACAGAGACTTTATGTTTGTTTCAAAAGACTGTCTTTATTGGGATTTTTCACAATTAATCCACATAAACTATACAATTTTCATTAATTTATTTATATACTTTTACAAAGTCACTTCACTTACAGTTTTTCATGAAACACTAGAATTAAACATTCATTCATTCACTTTGATTCACACAGGATCAACTTATGTTCACGAAAAGGAATTTTTGTCATTTATGATTGATTTTGCAGCACGTTTGGTATATGTGGAAATCAGCCTTATGTACATTTATTGTTTGTTTAAAATTAGCGCTGTTGAGTTTTCAATATTTCATTCACTAGACCTCTAGGGGTCTATATCACAGCAGCTTTTTGATTAGTATTGGTCAACACATTTACGATTAGTTATTCTGTAGATTAGCGCTGCCCATTTAATTAAAACATATTACTGTACTTGCCTGAAAAGAAGAACCTAATGCATCCACCACATTTAAGGACGGGTAAGCTAAAATATTTTAGATATACTTTGAGTGTTAAAGTAGAGGACCATCTACCTATGACTAAGTTGAGGCCTGTCACAAACTGGCCTGTTGGCCCACCTTGCTTGGGGATGCCTAATGAGAAATGGACATAAACACTTACAGGGCTATTTACTAAGGGTGAAGAGTTTGGAGAAGGCAGAAGAAGTGAACAATCCAGGACAAAATAGCTGATTTGGAAAAATCCTCCAATTTAGCTCACATTCCAGTTAAGCTATGTTGTCCTAGATTGTTCACTTCTCCTGTCTTCTCCAAACTCTTCACCCTTTTGTGAATAACCCTGTTAGTGATTCCCACCCCAGATTTGTATAAAACACTGACATAATATATACGTACTTTAGAAAGCACAATGCAACTTATGATTGAATGTCTCTATTGCTTTCAACTGTAGGCCAAGCTATGCAAAAAATAATCATCCCATAAGCATGTTTTGGACTGAAAGAGAATTTTGAGGCACTTGGGATAAGCTCACAGGAATACAGAGATAATATACAATTCCCATGCAGACAAGTCCCTGACTGTATCAGAAACAGGCCCTGTAAAACTAAAAAACAATAAAAACCAGGCTTCATGTCTGCCAGTCAGGCATACCCATAGGTACTGCATGTTTGATTCCAAGCTCACAGATCAGCAGCATTGGCTCACAAAGACGATGGCTTTGTTGGGTGTGCATGGTTCTCTTTAACATTACAAAGAATTTCCCAGAGGAAATGGTTAATTTACAGGGTTTCATTTGGTTACCCTATGACGTAAACCTTTTACTTGGCTATTGACTTGATTGATACCACATGTTTTGGCGGGCTCCTAAAAAGTGGCCCTCCCATGTCTGTGATGTCAGCTTGGAGCCTTCTTGCAATGTAATGCTGCAGCAGAATACATGATGCAACAATATAAAGCATACAGTATATAGTACATTCATTGAAATTAGCCTATCTTTACAGAAAAAGTTACATTTTGGATTGTCTTTTCTCAAGCTCCTGCTGTAAATAGAAGGCTACATTAACACCTGGGTTTTTCATGCAGTATATAAACCTAATGCAGTGCGTTGGATTCATTATTCATTTTGCATGTTTTAACATTCATCCCCATGGAAGGTGCATTTTGCCTGACATACAAAGATGCAGCAAGTCGGAGTCTTTTAAAGCACCACACTGTATCACAGAGTTGGAAATATAAAATGTACTAGCCTTACAACTAGTAGTTTTGACTTCTTTGATTTCTATGTTTTTGGGTATACAATATACTTGCCAGTGTGTCTTCCTATTATAATTTCCCAGAACATTATGGCACCACACAATGGATAATGATCTGGCCCTGAACCCCATTGGACAAGTTATTTATAAGTTTGCTCCAACACCAATTTTAAAAATTGGCGGCAGAAGCGCTCAGGATTAGGGTGCTGCCAGGTAGTGATCTTCACTCTCATGAAGGCTATGAAACACTTCACCAACCCCACCTACCACAGGGTCTGGGGAAGATTACTGGAATTTGCTACTTTAAAACCCTTTTGACCCATTGCGCCCAGAGATTACCCATGTCCTAGAGTTTCTACAGGAAGTCCTGGAAAAAAAGACTAAGCTGGAAGTCATTGAAAGTCCAGTTTCTGCTATCTCTGCCTTGAAGAGCATACGATGGGTCACCCATCCTCTCATAAATCAGTAACTTAGAGTGTGCTTTAAGCTGCATCTTCCCAGAAAACCAACCTTTCCCTAGTGGGACTTGTCAATAGCACTGTCAATACTTTGATCTGCACCCTTTCTATTTGGCCCAGTTACACAATCTGGAACCTGATGGTTAAAATTGCTTCCTAATAGTGATTATGTCTTCCAGATGTGTATCTGAACTCCATGCCTTGGCAGTATGTGAACAAGGTTATGTCACCCTTTTACTTGAGTCAAGATTTAGTCCTGCCTTTTTGCAAATCCATCAAGACACCCTCACGTCTTAGACGTTGGAGATACCCTAAAGGCAGAAAAGGTAGAAATCATGACAGACTCCCATTAAGCTTTTGATGCCAAACCTTGCTCTACATTATTTTATGCCAGCTGAGTGAGATATATTATGAATTAACATAGAGATCTTGTGTTTAGTGATCTCAATAATTGCAATGAATATTGCATCTTTCATTTTTTTTAAATGGGAAGAGAGAGTAAAAGAGGAGAGGAAGAGAGAAAGCAAGAGAGAGCGAGAGAGACTGGATGTCTAAACCAGACACTGTAATCATTTATACAAAATGCTGGTGTTCAAAGTGCTGACCAATGAAAGTACATACATCCTCTTTTTGCTGCATGTTGAGAAAAAGAGGTTACCTGCATTTATCTACATACCTACCAACCTTCTGAGATGATAAAAAAGGGACACCTAAATATGAGACGGTTGAGAGGTA